CCCTACACAAAAAATGCCTTTGTCACTGAAGTTCTGACTCTAAGCTTCCCTCTAAACAGCCCCTGTTGATCTTTGCTACCCTCTGAGATGAGGAATGATACACAGATTGGATGCTGGCCAGCGGGTTCCCAGCAACAGGGTAGCCTTGAGTTGCTGACGTCAGTTCATGACTAGAGTATAAGACAGTGTTTGGCCTGCATTTCCCACTGCTTTCCATGCTGCATGGATCCATGGAAGGAGTGAAAGGAGCTCCCATGGGCTATCTGAGCAGCAGCACCAGCCCTGTCTTTAATTGGAGAGAGGGAGACTACTGACATCACCCTGGCCTCATGGGGTAACCACAGGCCCAACTGGAAGTCAGGAGAGGCCCCTAAGGCACAACAGGCCAAAGTCATCATATTCTGAAGGCACTTGGTTTCGATGCCTTTTAGGAAGTCTTGAGAATAAAGTCCCCAAAGCACTGAAGTTCCAATTAATCAAAAGCCTTGTAGAGGGCTCCTAGTGATGTATATATTAAGCACCTCTTCCTCCTCACCTTGTGTCCATTGGTCACTTATTCATACCTCCCATGAAAGGGAAGGTTGGAGGGGTGTCAGGATGGGCAGAAGAGAACAGACTGAAATATAAATTGGTCATTTGTTTCCTTGTGAGCCGTTCTTACACAAAGGGTGGAAGAGATGGAGGAAAGCAACTGTTAAAATTGGTTGTCAGTATTTATCAGTGAAGGACCCTTACCACAGCCTCCTCCGAGCCTGCTGTGACCACAGTTTGGTTGTGATGCATTCAGGATAAACATTACTGAAACCCTATGTCCACATCAGTCCCCGGGCCTGCGGTCAAGAGATGGACGCTCCCCAAACCATGATGACAAGATGTTCTTGGAAGAAGGATATGAAATTGAGTCTGTCCTACAGCTTGTACTTATTTGAGTCTTCCTTATGAACATTATTTTTAACATTTCTGGTTTCTCACTGAATATACCAAATATTCCACAGGGGCATCATAAGCATAGGAGCATACCTACACACACACACACACACACACACACACATGTGCACATTCCACCTCTCTGTCCTGGGAGACTTTTCAGATTCCAGATGTTCTCAGAAAGAGCCAGGGACATGGATTTGAGGATGGAGATCTAAGATGAGGTAACAAGGTTAACATCTGAGCTTAGCTTAGGTGGATCCCCTGTAACCATGACTGTTCTCACTTAGGTCCAGCAGTTGGAGCAAGATGCGCTATACGAGGGATCCCAGAGATCCTGACTAAGTAGGAGGTACAAGAGAAGGTCTGGCCTTCTGAAGGACACGCTTTCCCCAAAGATTCAAGAATGTGGATGTGATTGATTTTTCCTACTCAAGCCTGTGTGTTATAGGTGATAAATATTTTTGAACATGTTCTGTAGGGCATCCTAAAACTTCTGACATATGCAGTGTCATGGAGGACATGCTGTGTGTTTTGGGATGTCTTTCTTCCTCCTTACTGAAGGCTCTTTGCATGAAGTCCTGTCTGCACAGGTCAAGGAGACACTGGAGGCAAGCCACACCTCGCGGACTCCAGACAATTATTGACTGATTGGAACTTTATCCAAACACTGTGGCCAGACCTGAAATTGATGATGCCTCCTGCCATTGTTGTTGTTTGTGACTTGGCTTTTGATGACTTTTTTTTTTTTTTAAGAGGTTTTTGCCTTAAGGTGTGTGTACTTGAGGGAGAGAGAGAAAAAGACAGTAAGAGAAAAGGAAAGAAATCACACACACACCCCCAAGAGGGCATAGACACGCCACAATCCTTTTCCCTCCATTTTCCTCCCAGGATTTTGGACACGCATGCACAGGCACCCTGCATGAGTTTCAAGCCACTGGGTCCAGGACTTGAACCATAGTCATCCGTGCGAGAATTTAGCAATGTAACCACTATGCCATCTGCTGGCCCCAAGGCTTTTGATGTTTTTGTCTTTGAGTCCTGGTATATGTAGAACTCAGGAGCTCTATTCTATTTTCTTTAAAAGTCTGTGAAGACGTAGCTCCCTAGCCCTCGTGGGAGGAACAACGTTAGGGTGGTGTGAAAGGGCATTGCCAGGCTTACCTCTCTGGGAGTGCATATTGGATCTTGTCTCAATAGGGAGACTCTAGGACTTCTCAGTGTCTGACAGACCCCTACATTCACAAACACTGAGTAGTGGAGAGAACATGGACTAGAAAATTCTCTGCCCTAAAATATCTGGGTAATAAATGCGTGGTGTTCAACGTTTAAGTCAAATGCCTCAGAAAATCCTGTCTGTTCTACTGTGTTTGGCCCAAATACAAATTATGAAATGGAAGCCTCAAAATTATCCTTCTGAGTTTTATATCTGGTCCTGGGAACATGCTAGTAATGTATGCACTATAGAATGTACCACCCCTGTCTTTCCTGTTCTGCTGCCATCCAGCATGCCCATCATGTGGGGGGGAGGGGGGTTCCTCAGTCCTATAGGCATCGTCAGTGTCATATAAAAATCTGCCCAGCTAGAACTTAGTAGCCTACTATCCATATTTTCTTCAAACGTTGCAGTCACCCTAGCACATCTATCAGGAGGGAGTCAAAGTTCATCCTCTCTCACTTCCAGTTGAGGTGGGATCAGCTGCTAGCCACCACCAGAGGTGGCATGTGGGTTTGGGGCTTCTGAAACCTGGGCTTGACTGGACCATCTCACCTGCTGATTCACCCAAGGGTGATGAGCCCACCCACCACATCACTCTGCCCTGACCTGCCATTTTGATTGGTGCATTTTTTGGTACAACAGGAAGTCATGTTCATGGCATACTCTACGCATGAGAAAACGGGCAGAAGTGGAGAACACGGGTAAAAATGAAGCCACAGGGCCTCGTAAACCCAAGGATATTCTGGGCAACAAAGTCTCTGTTAAAGTGAGTAAGGTATTCCGGAGCTGTGTCCCCACCTCTCATCCACTCCCACCCTGCAGCATTCTCACAAGGCAATTTGGGTGGATGGGGATTTTTTTTTTTTTCCCACTGCGGGGACCATAGGGGAGGTAGTTTAGCAGGATTTTGCATGCAAGATCAATTTATTTTTTATTTTTTATTTCTCCTGGCAACTTCAATTCAAGTAAGTACCTCTCTTCTTTTTCGTTAATACCTTTCTCTTTATACTGTGCAGATGTTTTATAGCAAAATTATCTGCAGCATTATTCTCTTAGAAATGCAAGTTGCTTGATTCATATTAAATTTCTCAAAGCTGCCCATTCAGTTCCTAGATTTGAGAATATATGCAGGTTAAAGGGATTAGAGACGCCTTCCAAACCCCTAACCCTGTGAAGGCTGAGGTTTGGAGTTTAAGGGCCACTGTGTCCCTGGTAAAGTTTCTTTTCCCCAGAATTCAGACAATATCAATTTAGGCCATTTTACTTGCCTCTCCTTTGCATGGGCACAGTAGGGAGGTACATTGGTGAAGCCCAGGTTATTTATTAGTAATCATCTATCTGTTGTGTTGAACTCACTGACGCTAAGCCTACAGACCCTTATTCTCCCCCATCTTGAAGCAACGTTATCTGCTTTCGTTTAAAAAAAAAAAAAAAAAGGCAAAGATCTGAAAAAGATCTGCTTCTGAACAATGGAAATTAGGCATTGATTATTGAATTTTGTTATAATACATGACGATCTACCTGGCATTTTACTTCCCTTCCTGAGCAAAGACCAATTGAAACCCATTCTAACGTCCTTCTTGGGGAAAAGAAATCATATTCTCTCCTTCACCCTCATCTGGGAAGTCCAGCCTCACAGAAGACAACCGTCCAAACCCTGCAGCACCCATGCTCATTCGGCTGCTTCCATTGCTCCTTCCTGTGAGCTAAGCGACTGTACACAGCCCCTGCCGCCTCGCCCTGACAAGAGCATGCTGCCGCCCTTGGTGACTCGCACTCCCACCTTGAAAGCACTCGGTTTCTTTCTCCGCCCAATGTCCCACTGCCCTTGCTTCTCTGAACGTCTCCTCTCTCTCTAACAAAAGCTACTGTGTTCTAACTGTGTTCTTTTTCTTCCCCCTTCCGCATGCTGCCAATCAAGGAGACGAACAGTTCCGAGGAGTCAGAGTGTGATGATCTTGACCCTAATACTAGCATGGAGGTAGAAGCAGCTATTATTGTCCTATTTCCTACAATGATTGCCTTTTCTGATGTGTTCTCTGACAGTGACCTTACTAAAGTGGCCAGGCATTTAAACCTAAATCGTGCTATTTGGGCTTCTCTGAGCATTCTATCCCAACTAAAACAAACAAATGAAAAACTTAATTTAGCTTGATTGTAGTGGAAAAAGAAAAACTCTACCTAGGTACCTGGGTATCTTTTTCAAAACAGAACTTAGAGTTCTCTTGAGTACTTACCTACTCTTTTCTCCTTTAGCAGGTTTGATGTATGTAGAAATACCCCAACTTTATTATTTGGAACTTAAAACACATTTTCCATGGAATATTGCACTATAAATAGTGGTTGGTTCTTAGCTACAATCAAGAACTCATTTAGTGTCTAGTTTCTCTTTTGTTTTTTCCTTTGTTTTTTTTTTTTAACCTATTTTTCTCTCCCCTTTTAATCCTCTTCATCTCATTTTTCTACTGGGATCTTTTCCTCCCTCAGTGCTCCAGAAAATCACAGGTTTGTTTTGTGGGTGACCTGGCACCTGTCACTGTGTGCCAACGATTGATAGCACATGAGCGCTGTTGGAGCCCCTGGAGAACACACATTTGTCCTGTCCCCAGGGCTCGTGGGCTGTGGCTTTCCCACTGTGAGAAGGACAGGAAACCCCGGGGACGGTCCTTCTGCTGTAGCCCTGGCAGAGCCTCTCTGGAGACGGTGGGAATCATGCACACACACACCACCAACAAGAGCATCCAGTCCACTTTTTAACTCCTAGTCGCATGACTAAAAGGCTATAGAACCATGACTGCATGGCTTACCACAGAGTGACAACCATCACACATGTGCAGAGCCTAGAGACAGAGCAAATCTGGAGCTGGCTTCCCTGGCCATGTTGTCTTTCAGAGTAAATTGTATTGTTTTTCTCCAAATCTGTGCCCCCTTCCCCAGTAACAGATAAAATTTAGAGATTTCCTCTAAGTACAACATAGAAAACTGGTTTTTTAAAACCTTTTCATTTGTGTAGCTCTAGGCTTTTCACTTAACAAGGTGGACTTTTATGGGGCCAGCAGATGGCATGGTGGTTAAGGCATTGGATCTCACATGGCCAACTCTGCAGGTTCGAGTCCCAGACCCAGTTGCCTGAGACACATACAGGGGATGTATGCATGTGTGCCCCAAATCCTAATAGAGTGTAGAAGGAATTGCTGATTGCTGTGTGGCCATCCCCCAAGGAGATGATTTCTCACTTCTCTATGTCTCTCTGGGGAGCACATGTTCCCTAGGGGGGAAAAAAAGGACTTTTATTACTCTTATTCTAATTTGACCCAATCCCAAAGAAGTCCACCTCACCCAAGAGAGACCGTGAGACCTAAGAATGGGTAAGTCAACTGGGAGAAGGACACTGAGTTCAACAGGACCGGGCAAGTGGTTGAAAATAGGAGTTCTGCCAGGGCGAAACAGTGCCCTGTGCGTGTGGTACTGCTGCAGAGCTCAATCTGGCAGCGAGGGCCAGTGCAGGGTTCTGCTGTGGGAGGAAGTGGCTGTGGTATTTGGAGCCTAAATGTATCTTAGAGAGTGAGGAAGCCGGGACAAATTCCTGGCCCCACTTTCCTTGCATTTCACAGTAAAAGCCCCTGCTCCTGTGGAGCCCACACCTGTCGGCTGGCTTCAGGCCCGAAGTGCTCAGGTATTGAATTGAGCGGCAGCAAGCAGAGCAAGCCAGAGGCAGGAGAACAGCCAGGTGTCTGTTCCAGAAGGCAAACTGGGACCTTTCCAACTCTCGTGGGTGAGGGGGAAGAGAGTGACTTCCCCCCCTGGAAAGGAAGAAGTGGGCACAGAGGGATGTGGGATCAGGCGAACAACACACACTGAGAAAGTTACCTATGTAATCGGAGGCTCCATTCCACATTTGGGTAAGAAAAACGTGCATACACGTTCTTAGCCCTGCTTACAGATCGAACACATTTTTAAGATTTGTATTCATCCAAGGCCTTACAGCCCTTTGCTAGGCACAGTGAGAAGCTGGCACCTAGGAGACACTCCCATCAGAGACTTTAGGATGCTCATGCTGAACAGAACAAAGCCAAACGTTGTGTTGATGCATGGGCTGAAAAGTTTCAGGTACAATAGTTGAGGCATAAACTTCCCTTTAGACACAAATTTCAATTAACCAAGGCCCTTGGGGGGCTGTGTGGTGGGAAGCTGCAAATCTTCAGGTTGATCCCAGGTTCCATAGTAGTTGTACATGCAGCCCTTACATGGTCCATGTAGCCCTCACGTAGATGCCTGTCGGCTCCAGCAGGCTCTGCTGAACGTGTTGCCAGCTTAAATGAACTCGGAGTGCATGAGCAGGTTATAGAGGGAAGTCAAGCTTCTTGATGTTGCTAGCTTATCATGTGCTAGGGGCACATAACTAATAAGGTATAGAAAGTCGAGGCCAGCAGGGGGCATGGTGGTTAAGGTGCTGGACTCCCACGTGACCAACTGCAGTTCGATTCCTGGACCTGAAAGTGTGCTTTCTCACTTTCCCTTTTTTCTCTCTCTCTCATCAAATTGAATAATAATAAATAAAATTAAATAGATAATTTTTTCTCAAGGGATATGGAAGTAGAGCATGATTGCAACAAACATCGCAGCAGTAGAAAATGACCAGGAATGCATCCTGGAGAGAGCTACACCTTACAGCCCAAACTTAAAATTCAGGCAAGTTGGCCACCACTTGAAGGACTCTTCTTGCTACTAAATTGACTGTTTGGGGCATGATTCCCAGACCCAGTGGCCCTATCCTTACCCTTGTCTTCTGGACGGGGTGCTGCAGCAGTTGCCATGTCTGTTCCACTTGTCTCTTTGGGAGCACGTCCTGAGCGCCTACTGAGCTGGACTGGAGATGCCCTGGCCTGTGTTCAGAGCCTCTATTTCTGGAACCCCAGCTGGCATCCTGGCACCATGCACCTGGTGCAGGCGCTGTGCTCTGAGTGCTAAACCTTGCCTTCGGCTTGATGCTAGCATGTTGATTCCAGTCCTCGCTGGGTATAGGCTCTTCCTGTCTCCGTAGCAGTGACATTGCCAAAGCATTCTTTACTTTTTCTCAACTGACGGACTGAAGGGCTCCTCTAAGAGGCAGTTATCTGGGCTCGTTACTTCCACACTGGCTGCTTACAACCCTCAGGGCTGGCGGATGTCCCACCGTAGTGTTTGGGGAGAGATATGACATGTCATTGAAAGCTAAGCAAGAGGAAAATAAAGCACCTTGAATCCTAGGTGTCGAATTTACAAAGTTTTCCAAGAGCACCAAGTTACGTAAAGGGAGGCAATTCTGCTCCGATGTTTACAACCTTTTCTCCTTCTGCTTGCAAATATTCTTGAAAACAACTCTGCTCCCCACTTCCAGCACCACAGGTCGTGGCAACATAGGTCAATGTGATCCCCTGTGGCCTGGCCTCCAGCTTATCTGTGGCTGTACTTCATAGAACTATTCTAGAAATGAGTGCTGGGCCAGCCTGTAGCCTAGTAGTTAAAGGAATCGGGTGCTACGTCACCAGCTGCAGTTTAAACGCTGATTGTGTTTCAAATCCCAGCCTCGGTGCGTGAAAAACATGCTGGGCGTGTGTGCATGCATGCTCAAAATCCGGACAGGATGAAGAAATGGAGGAGAAGGGACTGGGGCGTGAACATGCCCCATTGGGAGTGTTCTCTCTCTCTCTCTCCTTCTCTCTCTGTGTCTGTCTCTGGTGAGTGTACATACCCTCTTGCAATTGAAAAAGAGAGAGAGAGAGAGAGAGAGAGAGAGGCCTCTATTTCTGGAACCCCAGCTGGCATCCTGGCACCATGCACCTGGTGCAGGCGCTGTGCTCTGAGTGCTAAACCTTGCCTTCGGCTTGATGCTAGCATGTTGATTCCAGTCCTCGCTGGGTATAGGCTCTTCCTGTCTCCGTAGCAGTGACATTGCCAAAGCATTCTTTACTTTTTCTCAACTGACGGACTGAAGGGCTCCTCTAAGAGGCAGTTATCTGGGCTCGTTACTTCCACACTGGCTGCTTACAACCCTCAGGGCTGGCGGATGTCCCACCGTAGTGTTTGGGGAGAGATATGACATGTCATTGAAAGCTAAGCAAGAGGAAAATAAAGCACCTTGAATCCTAGGTGTCGAATTTACAAAGTTTTCCAAGAGCACCAAGTTACGTAAAGGGAGGCAATTCTGCTCCGATGTTTACAACCTTTTCTCCTTCTGCTTGCAAATATTCTTGAAAACAACTCTGCTCCCCACTTCCAGCACCACAGGTCGTGGCAACATAGGTCAATGTGATCCCCTGTGGCCTGGCCTCCAGCTTATCTGTGGCTGTACTTCATAGAACTATTCTAGAAATGAGTGCTGGGCCAGCCTGTAGCCTAGTAGTTAAAGGAATCGGGTGCTACGTCACCAGCTGCAGTTTAAACGCTGATTGTGTTTCAAATCCCAGCCTCGGTGCGTGAAAAACATGCTGGGCGTGTGTGCATGCATGCTCAAAATCCGGACAGGATGAAGAAATGGAGGAGAAGGGACTGGGGCGTGAACATGCCCCATTGGGAGTGTTCTCTCTCTCTCTCTCCTTCTCTCTCTGTGTCTGTCTCTGGTGAGTGTACATACCCTCTTGCAATTGAAAAAGAGAGAGAGAGAGAGAGAGAGAGAGAAAATGAGAGTCTATAGTTCAGTTTCTTTATCTTCCACTGATTAAACTTTGGGAGTGGTAGGAGTGGGAGTGAGGGAGAGGATATATGTGAGGGAAATTTTCTACATCCAAAAAGAGGGAAATGAAGCTGAAAATCAAACACTAGGGTTCCTTGGGAACAGGTTAACATTAACTCATTTTTCTACAGCTTAGACTGCTGACTGAGTGTCTGCCATGGTGGAGGAGCACAGATGCGGTGGGGGAGTGGGAACCATACCCTCACCTGCTGCTTCCTCAGCCTGCCCCGTCTGCACTGACCCCACAGGCTGGAACCAGGGCTCAA